AGATTGTTTGTTTTGTTGGTTTAATTATTCAAATTTCGTAATAAAATTAAATTGAACTAGCTGCCATTTCGGGGCCTTTAGATTCCTCACCCAGTGACAATATCACAATACCACCATCTCTTGTAGGGGAGCAATGTTTCATAATACTGCAGGTCCAATACAGCGTCCTGTCATTTCTCTTAAAACAACTAATTGCCCATCTTTGTCACCTGAAGATCCTGGCTCCTGTTGGAGTCTCACTCCAAAGTGTTACTCACCCAACAGTTCCTCCTCATCTAGAGTTCTGTGTACGAGTTTGGGCGGATATAGTTGCATCAAATGCAGTTTCGAGAAGGTTCGCTTGATTGGTTCCTGAAGTGAAATGGTTAAGTCTATATTCCAAGGACTTTGAAGCCCTAGTTTAGGCTTCTACTTACTACAGTTTTCTAATCAACTTATTCAGAAATGTTATGACCCACCTCTGGAGCAGGTGGGACTTGAACCCAAGTCTTCTGACTCAAAGGCATGGGTATACTACTGCACCACGAGCCCTCGAAAGCCAGCCCTGGAATACTTGCTTTGAACATTACCTGCTCTCTGTTATCCCTGCTGCATGACATCGAGGTCTACAGCACAGGGAAAGGCCCATCGAGTCTGTGCCAGTCAAAAACAACCATTTAACTATTCTAATCCCATTTTCCAGCATTTGCCCCATAATTGTAGTATGCCTTGGCTTTAAAAGTGCACACCTAAATACTCCTGAAATGTTGAGGGTTTCTGCCTCCACCACCCTTACAGGCAGTGAGTTCCAGATTCACACCATTGTCTGGGTGAAAAAAAATTCCTCACAGCCCCCTTAAATCTCTTGCCCCTTACCTTAAGTATATGCCCCTGGTCATTGACTCTCTGAAGGGGAAAAGTTTCTTCCTGTCTCTGCCTCTCATGATTTTAGACATCTCAATCATGTCCCTCCTCAGTCTTCTTCTGTACTCCAAGATAAACAATGCCAGCCTATCCAATCTCTCTTCGTAACTAAAACTCTCTCCAGCCCATTGCAATATCCTGGCAAATATCATCTGCACCCTCTCCAGTGCAATCTCATCCCTCCTAAAGTGTGGATTCCAGTACTACACACAGTACTGTAGCTGTGGCCTCACCAAGGTTTCATACAATTCCAGCATCACCTCCCTGCCCTTAAACTCTCTGCCTCGGCTAATAAAGGCAATTATTCCATATGCCGCATGAACCTCTGTGGCTGCCTGTGTCACTCCCTTAAGGGACTGGTGTATGTGCGCACCAAGGTACCTCTGATCTTCTGTGCTTCCCAGGGTCCGAACATTCTTCATGTATTCCCTTACCTTGTTTGTCCTGCTGAAGTGCATTACCTCATACTTTTCCAGATTTGAATTCCATTTGACACTGAACAGCCCATTTTGTCCAGCCCATCTGTATCCTCCTCACTATTAACCACCCCACCAATTTTTATATTATCTGCGAGCTGAGTCATAAACCCTCCTACATTCAAGTGTAAATCATTGAAATAAACCACAAACAGCAAGGGCCACAAAAGTGATCGTGCGGAACCCCAGGCCTCCATTTGGAAAAAAACACCCTTGACCATCACCCAGTGAATTCTGGATCCAATCGGGCAAATTTCCTTCGATCCCATGGGCTCTAACATTGGCTATCTGTCTCCCATGTGGAATCTTATGAAAAGCCTCGCTGAAGTCCAGGTGGAGTGTGCCAAATATATTGCCCTCATCTACACACCTGGTCACCTCTTTGAAGAATTCAATCCAGATGGTGAGATGTTATCTCCCCATAACAAAACCTTCGCATTCAACAGTGGCTAGATGTGTTATGTTCGGCATTAGGGAAAGAGTAACATTCCTTCAGAGTAGGTTCAAATTTGGGATGCTACTAAAAACGGGTAGTCTCTGTACCTTCTTCATTGCAATGACAGTTGATCAGACAGGTAATGCTGTATAGTGTCAACGCAGTTGTGAATGTAATCTTGGGTGGCATGGTGGCTCAGTGGTTAGCACTGCTGCCTCAGTGCCAGGGACCAAGGTTCAATTCCACTTTCGGGCAACTGTGTGGAGTTTGCACATTCTCTCTGTGTGGGTTTCCACCGGGTGCTCTGAATTCCTCCTACAGTCCAAAGATGTGCAGGTTAGGTAGATTTGGCCTACAAAATTACCTGTCGTGTTCCGATATGTATAGGTTAGGTGCGTTATCCATGGGAAATGCAGGGTTACGGGGATGGGTCTGAGTGGGGCGCTCTTCAGCGGGTCAGTATGGACTTGTTAGGCCGAATGGCCTGTTTCCACACTGTAGGGATTCTATGGAAAACCATGCTCACTGGTCTCGATTAATCTCTGCCTCTCCAAATGCAGATTAATTCTGTCCTTCAAAATTGCTTCCATTAAGTAGCTTCCCCATCACTGACTGGCATGTAGATTCCTGGTTTATCCCTTGAATAATAGTACTCCATTAGCTGCCCTCCAGTTCTTTAGCACCTCCCCTGTGGTGAGAGAGGAATTGAAAATTGTCAGTGCCCCTGCTATTTACTCCCTTGCCTCAGTCAACAGCCTGGGATCCGTTTCATCCGGCGCAGGACACTTATCTGCTTTTAAACCTGCCAGATGACTCAGCCTTCTCTCTGCACTAGTTTCTTTAATTATATCACAGTTCTTCTCCCTGATTTCTGTACCCACATTGTGCCCCTCACAAGTGAACACTGACACAAAGTATTTATTTAGAACCCTACCTATATCCTCTGGCTCCAAGAACAAATTACTATTGTGGTCATTAACGTGGCAAAGAGTAGGGCCCGTTATCTTTCCAAACCTTAATGTACTTGTAAAATAACTTTTTGAATTTTCCTTCATTTTACCTGCCATTATTGTTTCATGCCCCCTTTTTGCTCTCTCGATTTCATTGCAAAGTTCCCCTTTGCATATTCTATACTCCTCTTGAGCTTCTGCTGTTCTCAGTCCTCAAGCCTCCCATTTTATCTTTGCCCAATCCTGTGTATCTTTCTATCCAGAGTTTGCTGGATTTGTTTGTTGCACCGTTTAGCTTTATTGGAACATGTTGGTCCTGTCCCCTCCCTATTTCCTTTTTGAATGTGTCCCACTCTCATTCCTCCAGTTTATAACTTCAAATTCAGGGCCATCCTTGTCCTTTTTCCATAACAATTGTGAATCTAAAATCTTTATTCATTCTTGAAAAGACTCTAATTTATGATATCGTCAGAAGTTGATTAAGGCTGAGTTGGACTGATGTTTGATAGGCAAGAGTGTTTAGGGTGATGGAGTGGCAGGCAAGAAATTAGAATTGAGATTGTGACTGTGACTGGATCAGCCACACTTCTCCAATTTATTATGATTTTACAAAACTGAATATTGGGCAGAAACCATGTGGGAATGTGGTACATATAGGTGAGTGAATTTCTTTTAAATTTCTCTGCACTCAGATTATAAGAAAACAAGCCTCCTTAGGCCCATCAAGATTTTTGAGCAATTTATAGAGAAGATGGAGCAGTCACGAAAGGGGCAGCTGCTGAGACAGAGTGGTGAGTATTGTTTGGGATATTTTGCAAATAGTGTTATTGCATAAACTTGCCAAAATTCAGAGCTCTGAAGAAAGCCAGTACAGGTCCAATAGGTTTTGTTTTTAAACCTGGAAAGGCCTGTTGTTTTCACAAGCAACCCTATGCTTAGTATGGTTTTTATTTTGGAATGTTACTAATTTGGGATTAAACCATAAATTTGCTTTTGAAGTCTCGAAGCTTTTCTCAAGAATGAACTTATGTTTGAGCTCAATTATTTGAATTTTTGTCTTGTATTTGATTCAGGAGAATATTGCCTGAGGAGTAATGGGCTGGAGCTTTATGCATCTACCTCCTGAACAAGGTCAACATCTGAAAGTGCTCCACCTGTTTAATTGTTTTTGGGTTGATTGTTTTAAGTAGGCAAATACTGAAATCCTTCTGGACCTGAACAACTGATGCATGACTGATCAATTTGCTTCGATAGTATTGATTTGAGGTCATAGTCATACAGCACGGAAACAGACCCTTCAGTCCAACCAGTCCATGCCGAACATAATCCCAAACTAGACTAGTCCCAGCTACCTGCTCCTAGCCCGTATCCCTCCAAACATTTCTTAATCATGTACTTGTCTTTTAAACGTTCTGACTGTACCTGCATCCACCATTTTCTCTGGAAGTTCATTTGACACACAAACCACTCTCTGCCTTTTTTTTTAAAAGTTGCCCTTCATGTCTTTTTTAAAATCTTTCTCTTCTCACCTTAAAATATGCCCCCTAGTCTTGATATCCCCTACCCTAGGGCAAAGACACCCTGCCATTCACCTTATCTATTACCTTTCATGATTTTATAAACCTCTAGAAGGTCATCCCTCCACCTCCTTCACTCCAGTGAACAAAAGTCCCAGTCTGTCCAGCCTCTCCCCATAACTCAAGCCATCCACTCTGGGCAACATCCTTGTAAATCTTTTCTGAACCCTCTCCAATTTAATAATATCCTTCCTATAACAGGCTGACCAGAACGGGACACACTACTCCAGAGGAGGCCTCACCAATGTCCTGTGCAGCTTCAACATGACATCCCAACTCCTATACTCAATGGTCTGAGCTATGAAGGCAAGCACTGCCTTAACCACCTTGTCTACATGTGATGCAAACTTCAAAGAATTATATGCCTTAACACTTGGGTGTCTCTGTTCAACATCATTACCCAAGGCCTGCCCTTGTTTGTTTTACCAACATGTAATACCTTGCATTTATCCAAATTAAACTCCATCTGCACCTTCTCAGCCTGTTGGCCCAAGAGATCAAGATCTGTTTGTAATCTTAGATAACTACCTTCACTGTCCACTCTACCGCTTATGTTGCTGTCATCTGCAAACTTGCTAATCACACCTTTTATATTCTCATCTGAATCATTTGTATAAATGACAAACAAAA